GAGAGAGAGAGGATCTCAAGCTGACTCCAGGATGATTGTAGAGCCCGTTGCAGGGCTCAATCCCTCAACGCCAAGATCACAGCCTGAGCCAAGATCAGGAGTTGGATGCCCAAAGACTGAGCCAGGCGCCCCAGGGAGCTTTATTATTATTATTATTTTATTTTTATTTACTTATTTTTAAAGATTTTATTCATTTGAGAGACAGTGTGTGAGCAAGAGAGCACAAGCAGTGGGAGCAGCAGTCGGAGAGGGAGAAGCAGACTCCCCACTGAGCAGGTAGCCTGATGTGGGGCTCGGTGCCAGGACCCTAGGATCATGACCTGAGCCAAAGACAGACCCTTACCTAACTGAGCCACCCAAACACCCCCCCAGGGAACTCTTTTTTTTTTTTTTAGCTAAAGTCACTTGAAAAATAGCGGATGGGAGAGGGGCTATTCGTGAACCCTCCTTGTATCCTCAATGCAGATCCTTCTAGCAGGCTCATTGGTTGTAGACCCCCACTCCCCAACGCCTCACCAACCAAGGAAGACTGACTCCTGTCACAGGACAGGAGACTAGAAGTAATGTTGTAGGAAAGACGTTAGGGTTCGAAGCTGATGGTCAAGAAAGAATTCTTGAGCTGTCTTTGGCAGAAAAAGGTGATTTTATTTAAGCACGGGGACAGGACCCGTGGGTAGAAAGAGCTGCCATGGGGTCACGAAGAGTGGCCCATTGTATACTTTCCAATTGGGAGGGGGTTAGGAATTAAGTCTGTAAGAAGGTTACCAGGACCTGGAGAAAAGGTCATTTCATACTGTCTAATGAAACCTTAGTCATGAGACCCTTCAGATGTATATCGGTGGCCCATATGCTTGGGGGGTGACTGCCAACATGTATCTTGGGGGTTTAGAGATAAAGGAAATTTCTAAAGGAATTTTTATATGTTAAACTAGACTTACAGGATCCTGGGCTGAGGTTTGGAGCAGGGGAGGAGGTGGTTTGGGCTCGGACTGTCTTTTGCCCTTACCCTTAGCAAAGTATCAGCGTCAAGGCAGCTGAGTCCCTAGAGGAAAGTCACTCTGCCTGTTTTAAGGACTTGTCAATGGGCTGCAGGTAGTAAGGAAATTTAATAATTTTTCTTCTGCCTTTGTTTCCCGCATCAGTAAGACACTAAACTGTCACAAACTATCCTACCTCCTATCTCTTCTATTCATTTTTCCTAAAAACCATTGGCTCCCCATTGAGAGGCCTAAATTCCCCTTCTCCTTCCCTATAAGATAGTATTTATGCCTAAATTCTAAAACCACCTCTGAATTATTCATTTCCCCTGGGTATCTCCTATGTATACATGAAATATACATGTTAATAAACTTCTGGGTGGGTTTTTTTTTCTCTCTCTCTTGTTAATCTTTCATTACAGGGTCTCAGCTAAGAACTCAGAGGGTAAAGGGAAAATTATTTCCGTCCCCACAGTATACCTAACACAATGAACTGTCTGCTTAAAAATGGTTAAGATGGTAAATTTTGTCATGTGTCTGTTTTGCCACAGCTTAAAAAAACAACGAATTAAGGACAAAACAAGTCTCCTGTAGACTAATTTCTCAATCTTCCTAAAGCAGGCAAATTTGAGGACTGAAGCTACAGGCTGATTTCCTGCCTGGTGGGGGATGAAACTGGTTATTTTTAACACGGAGCGCACAATGCAAATGCATTTACGTAAACAGGGAAAAGAAAGAGTCCTTCGGGCTTTTCTTCCCCCCTAAACTGCACAAACCTTTGACTACCTTTTATGGTTATATAACCAATGACAAAGCAAGGCAAACACCCAGCCAGCTCTTGGTTTCACTCTTTCTCTTGGGGACGGGGAATGTTTGCTGATTCTGGTGCCCTAGGACTTTCTCATGACGCTGAGTTAAGTTCCAGATATGGTCGTGACCTTCAGGGGAACCAAATGCCGCTGGGAAGGAAGAAAGGCAGGCAGATAAACAGGGACAGGTTCATCGGCAAAACTCCCCCCGCCCTACAGCAGCCCAATGCCCAGGCCCTTTGTGAGCTCAGCCCATCACGTGCTCACCCCTGCCCGCCAATCCCGCCGTGTTACTAGGCCTCCGTCGCTTTTGCATTGGTGGCCCTCTGAAGCAATCTCTTCTGGGGCACTTGCAAAGGCCGGATCTGTGGGTGGAAGGAACTGAAAATGGATCCAGTGACTCACCCTGGATCTCGCACATTCTAGCACATTACATTCTAGGTCAGGGGATTTTAGGTTTCAGGGACGTGAGTTGATATCCAATTCCTGGGTCCAAGTGGGTTTTGGGAGGCCTTCTCGGCAAACAGAAAAGCAGTTGTAATGAGGACAACAAAATTCCCCTGTAGGGCAGGGTTGCTCAACCTCCTTGGCGTTACCGACATTTGGGGCTGGGTGATTGTGTCCTAGGGGACCTGCAGCAGCATCTCCGGGGCCTCTATTACCAAATGCCGGTGGCACTTCCTCCACCCTGCTAACACTACCGTTGGGACAACCAAAAATGGTCTCCAGACATGGTCAAATGTCCACTGAGGGGCCAAGTCACTCCTGCTTGAGAATCACCTGCTTGAGAATCTAGGGAAACACCAGCCATCTGTCTCATTTTCTCTTCCCCTCCCTGTCACCCCAGTGCCCTTGCACAAATGTTTACTTCTATTTGCTCTCACACAACCCACTGTTGGACTTAAGGAATGCAGGCGTGTTTCAGAGCATTTTTTTTTTTTTTCCTGCTAGAGATAGCATCAGTGTTGTCAGTTCCTAAGAATGTTGTTTTCTCCTTGGAGATAACTGACTTGGGACCCACTTCCCACCCTCTGAGCCTCTTTTCTTCCTCCTCTCCCTCCCCTGCCTCTGAAATCAGGCCTGTTTTTCTCTGTACCTTTTGTACTCTGGAAAAAGTTATGTCACAAAGCTCGTGACTCAGCCTCTAAACAACATGAATCACGAGGCTGTCAGCAAAAGCCACAGCCAAAAGCGAGCAGGGTGTGGTATGAAGCTAAGCCTGGTCACCTTAGAAAGAACCTGGGCATTTTGGTTCTCTGAAACTTCTGCCCAAAATTTGGGAAGAAATATCCCTATAAGAATCCCCCATGTTTTGTTCCTTTAAAACGTTCTAGAAATAATCTTCATAAAAGCCTGGATTGGAAGTTACGGGGGTCTCCTGCTAACCTGAAAAAAAAAATATTTTTGGTCTTTATTATTCATTTTAATTTTCCAGTAACAATTCATTCTCTTTGAAAAAATGTTAAAATTTGCACAGATTAAAGTCTATTTTGAAACTTCCTCAGACCTTTTTCAAAAATACCTACATACAGGGGTCAAAAAAGAAAACACATAATTTTATTTTGACGCACATTTTAGGAAAGTTGAAATACTACAAGGTTCACAATTTAAAACAGGAATGAATCCTTTTTTAATGCCAGAACACTTTTTAAAAAATATTTTATTTGTTTGACAGACAGAGATCACAAGTGGGCAGAGAGGTGGGGGTAGGGTGGGAAGCAGGCTCCCCGCTGAGCCCAGAGTCCCACACAGGGCTCTATCCCAGGACCCTAAGATCCTGACCTGAGCTGAAGGCAGAGCCCAACCCACTGAGCCACCCAGGCACCCCTGACAGAACATTTTTAAAGCAATTTTTCCTTCTTTTTTTGAAAGCTTTGAGTACGGAAATTAAAATACCTTTCTCCCCTCTATATTGCAGAAATGGGGGATATTTCTAAAAGAGTCCAGAAGGGGCAGTGGCTGGGAAATTGAGCATGTGAGGGAAATTTTTCACCGTAAGCTTCCAAAAGCCTCTTGTTTTTCACCATATTCATATATGTATATTTTTTCATATTCATAAATCTTTAAAACACTTAAAAAATATGTTGGAGAAAGGACACCTATAAATCACAAAATGAGAAAGATCTGGCTGGCAACCTTTTACTCTTCTTCTATCCACATTGCACTTTGCCCTAGAATGAAGTTTTCTATTTGGGATATTAGATTGTTTTGTTTCTCGGCCCAACCACAAACCACAGGGCTGGGATTTAATTAGGGTGTTTAAAACCTCAGGCGTATCTAGGATGCACTTCTGAGCTCCCCCGAGTACCGACACTTAGGAAGATGGGACGCCACCGTGTTTGCAGTCAAGCACAGCCTTCCCAACCCAAGTGGCGCAGATGAAACAGGAAGGCCAAAGAACAATCTAGAAAGTTCGGTCAGCTTCCAGAGGCGCCTCCAGTAGATGGGGTTTCTGCTCCCCTTTTCAGAGTTGGGCTTAGGGACCGCCCCCCCGCCCCCGATCCACCCCAGGGGCGCTCTGCCAAGAGCGCGGACTGGCGGCCCAGGCCTGGCCCACCTCCAAGCCCAGATCTGTCTAGTCATCCGTCCTGTCCGCACGCCCGCGCGGGGGAGGGGGGGGGCATGGGCAGGTCGCTACAGCCCGGGGTAGAAGTGGGGGAGGGGACGGAGTCGGAGCGTGCCCCGGCGTGAACACCCCTGAGCTCGCAGAGGGGCGAGGGGCGCGCGACGCCAGACCCCTCTCAGTCCAGGGCGGGTCTCGAGAGCCGCGAGGACCGTTGCGGCTGAGGGGAGGGGGCGTCGGGGTCCGGCGGGGACAGCCCGCTCCGGGCTCCCTATGGACTCCGCGCCGGGTTTTCGCTCCTTCCGCGGGCCCTTTCCCTCCCCTCCTCCGTGCCTCCGCCCCCGAGATCGAGCGCCGGCCAAGTCCGTAAGCATAGCACTCAACTGACGCGCTGATCCCTCCGCGCGGGCGCCAAGGACGGCGGTCCTTACTCAGCCGATTCAGTCTACAGCCCATCCTTGACAGGTAAACATATCTGGAGGGGCTTTTAGATGATTTGGGTGGGGGGGCACTAGTTTTCTCTTCGGACGGCAGGAAATGTGAGAAAAGTAGTCCCTTCTCGGCGTTTCTGCGGAGGGATCCATCGGAGCGGCGCCACCGATTACTATATAAGGAGGCGCCGGGTGTGGCGCAGGCAGTTCTTTGGAGGCCGGGAGTTCCTTTTCCGTGTTTGTGTGTGAGCTGTAGTCACAGCCGTTTGGTGAGGAGTGGGCCGCTCTGCTGCCCGGGGGTCTTGTGGCCGGGCGAGGCGAGGGGAGGGGAGGCTAGAGGCCGAGCAGCGCGCTGCCGGCGGAGCGGAGGTGGAGGCGTTTAGTCTCCCGGGGCGCGGGAGCGGAGGTCTCTGAGGGGGAGGGCTGCAGTAAAATGGCGGCCGCTTCGGATCCGTGACTGGAAGAAGCGGGGCTGTGAGGCTGGCTGAGGTTGGAGGGAGAAGCCTGGGAAGGGGGGTGGTCGTGAGTGGATGAGAACGCGACGGGCCCGTGAGGCCTTAACGGGGCTCCTTGCGCAGTGTGAGTGGGGGAAGCCGAAGTGTGTTCCGCGGCCGCGCTGGCCCCGCGGCTCGTCGCAACGAGTGGGCACTAAATGCGCGTGCCACTCCGCAGTCCTGCGCTTGTTCTCGGGGAGGGGACCCGCTCGCCGCGCCGGTCACGTGATGTCACCCCTTTGTGGGCTCACAATCCCGGGTGGGGCTGCCTGGTCCTGTGTGTGGAGCTGACTCTGGTCAGTTGTGGGACGCAAGGGTTAGGCCCGGGGAGGACCCTGCAGAATTGGCCGGGGCAGACATCAGTGAGGTGGGAGGGGAACATAAGTGAGGCCCGCGCCTTCACTTCACCGGTATTGATGCTTTTTCCTCCTCGCAGGGAACGGAAGCTTGGCTTGGGAGCTAATTTGCACTTCGGCAACCTCTCCTATTTTTCTAGTTAGCTTCTTTAGGGGACGCTTGTTTGGGGGAACGTAAGACAGTCATTTAGTGGTAGGATCCTGTTCACATGCGAGTTGTCTGCTACAGTTGGGGGTTCTTTGTTTCTGTTCTCTCGTGACAGACAATGCAGATCTTCGTGAAGACCCTGACGGGTAAGACCATCACCCTGGAGGTGGAGCCCAGTGACACCATCGAGAACGTCAAGGCGAAGATCCAGGACAAGGAGGGCATCCCCCCTGACCAGCAGAGGTTGATCTTTGCGGGGAAACAGCTGGAGGATGGGCGCACCCTGTCCGACTACAACATCCAGAAGGAGTCCACTCTGCACCTGGTCCTGCGATTGAGGGGTGGTGGCTTAAGTTCCCCCTTTTAAGCAGTTGACAAAATTCATTGCACTTTTCTTTCAATAAAGTTGTTGCATTCCAAATAGTGTGTGTTTTTTGTGGGCGTGAGAGGGGTTCTTTTTAGTTTGGATGAGGGTGTGAGGAGTCAAGGTTTTCAGTCTCTCAGTGATTCTAGTAACCAGAAGGTAAGAAATCTCAGTACAAAAATTTGGAGGTTGTAGTATACACAGATGTACGTGTAACAAATAGGACTGTTCAAAAATACAGTTTTTCAGGTTTTTAAAAGCTGTGTAATTACGGACATCTTTTCATATCACCGTATCTAGATTTACCTCATTCTTGTTAATGCTCTTGCTATTGCATTGTATGGATGCCCTGTGATTTAACCTAGGCACCAACATGTTTATAGATTTTTGTTGTTCTGTTGCAAAGTACATCCTTATACACCGCTCCTTTTTATACTAATACTTTGAAAGTATGGCATAGATAACGAGATTTCTGTGTAATAAGGTTCTCAGAATTAAAAATCTGCCTTAGAACTTGTTTTTACAATTGTCCCATGATATTTTTCTATTTTTAATTTTTTGAGTAGGTAACACTTCACACGTTCAAGATATATAAAAAGGTTAAAATAGGGGCACCTGGGTGGGTTCAGTCAGTTAAGTGTCCGACTCATGATTTCAGCTGAGGTGATCTCAGGGTGTGGGATCAAGCTCCGTGTCAAGTTCCCCCCCAACTCAGTGGGGAGTCTGCTTGAATTTCTCTCCCCCTCTTCCTCCCCCTGCTTGCACACGCTCAGGTCTTTAGGGGTTCCTGGGTGGCTTAGTCAGTTGAGTGCCTTTGGCTCAGGTCATGATCTCAGGCTTCTGGGATCCACCCCTTCATCTGGCTCCCTGCTCAGCTGGGAGTCTGCTTCCCCATCTCCCTCAGTCTCCCCCCCCCCCCCGCCCCACTTGTGCACTCTGGCTCTCTCAGTTAAATAAAAATCTTTTTTAAAAAATCCTTAAGGGGCACCTGGGTGGCTCAGTGGGTTAAAGCCTCTGCCTTCAGCTCGGGTCATGATCTCAGGGTCCTGGGATTGAGCTCCGCATCGCATCGGGTTCTCTGCTCAGCGGGGAGCCTGCTTCTCCCTCCCTCTCTGCCTGCCTCTCTGCCTACTTGTGATCTGTCAAATAAATAAAATCTTTAAAAAAAAAATCCTTAAAAGTTTAAAATAGTATATAATGTCCTCCATGCTGTCTTGCATCCATCCAGTGCTCCAGCCCCATCCCTGCCCCAAAAGTACTTTCAGGGTTTATGCATATGCAAGCAACCACTAATTATTAATCCCCTCCATTACAAAAGGTAGTATACTGTTTGTGTCCTGTCCTGTACCTTGCTTTTTCACTTTACATCTTTTATAGTTTTGACAAGAGTTCTAATACCTTTTCATTTTGCATAAGGGAAAAAATACCTCATGTCATTTTCTCAAGAACAAAACCACCAAACTAACACAATCCCTTGTGAAACATTTACAGCAGCCCCCCAACAAATAGAGGAACCATAGTGATAATGTGATGAATAAAAAGCACTTCTGCTATTAAGGGGTCTTCAGTCGATTTAATGAACAGATACTAAACGTGTTCAGTTTCATGGAGTGACTTAAATCTTCAAAGCGCTCTGAAGTTTGGTTTCGCACTAGTTAACTGCTGTGAGAGGATTCACTTACGTAGATGAGTCTCGAGTAAACTAGAAAAGCATGTAGCTTGCGTTTATTTAAAATAGCGTCCCTACTTACGTTTTGTCTGAAAGGACAACACTCTTGCCAAGTTACAAATATGGCCCTCCCAGAGGTATATTCTAGCAGCTTGACAAAAGTGCCTTTTAATAAAGGATTAGCCACGTCAGTGTGTAGTGCTCATTTCTGCCGGAAGAGGGAGCGCCTAGGACAGGTTTTGGTTTAGACATGAGGCCTGCAGCGCCCCCAAGCGGTTATGGTTGACCAAGCAACTTAGGCTTTCACCTTCCCCACCCCGCCCACAGAGGCTTTTTACGGTGCCCCTCGCTCCAGCCCCAATGCCTTCTACTTTCTCCGTTTCTTTCCAATCCTGCAGCTGCTTCCTGTTGGAATTACTCCACAATGTCTAATGTAGCTATTATTCAATGTAGACCCTCTATTACTGTATCTCAGCAGATACAGTATACAGATACAGATCGTTAGATCCCCTCAAAATGCTGCCTTCCCTGCTTCCCTCTCCGGCTGGCCACTTACTTTTCTCCATATGGTCCCTTCCATTTTCCACCTTTCTCCACTCAAGCGGCTCCCTCTTTCTAAAATGCTGCCACTCCCACCTTAAATTCTACCCAACGTCAAGACCCAATTCAAAGGTCACACTAACTAAAGCTCCTTGACTGTCCTGACTGGATACTATCTACATTCCCGAAATCTCCTAGGTCTTCCTATTTAAAAAAAATATATAGGGACGCCTGGGTGGCTCAGTTGGTTAAGCAGCTGCCTTTGGCTCAGGTCATGATCCCAGCATCCTGGGATCGAGTCCCACATCGGGCTCCTTGCTCGTCAGGGAGCCTGCTTCTCCCTCTGCCTCTGCCTGCCATTCTGTCTGCCTGTGCTCGCTCTCTCTCCCTCTCTCTCTGACAAATAAATAAATAATAAATAAATATATATATATATATATTATTTATTTATTTATTTATTTGACAGAGAGACAGCGAGTGATGAATCACTGAATTCTATTCCTGAAATCAATATTGCCCTATCTGTTAACTAACTAGAGTTTAAATAAAAATGTGAAACTAGGGGCGCCTGGGTGACTCAGTGGGTTAAAGCCTCTGCTTTCGGCTCAGGTCATGATCCCAGGGTCCTGGGATCGAGCCCCGCATTGGGCTCTCTGCTCAGCGGGGAGCCTGCTTCCTCCTCTCTCTCTGCCTGCCTCTCTGCCTACTTGTGATCTGTCTGTCAAATAAATAAAAAATCTCTAAAAAAAAATGTGAAACTAAATAAATAAATAATATTTAGTATTTCCCTATGATTTAGGCCAGTGAGGGAACACAAGCAGGGGGAGTGGGAGAGGGAGAAACAGGCTACCCGCTGAGCAAGGAGCCTGATGTCGGACTCGATCCCAGGGCTCTGGGATCATGACCTGAGCTGAAGGCAGATATTTAATGACTGAGCCACCCAGCCATCGCCCTAATTTCTTAAAAAGATCTTATTTCTTTATTTGCCAGAGAGAGCAAGCAAGCACAAGCAGGGGGATCGGCAGGCAGGGGAGAAGCAGGCTCCCCGCTGAGCAAGGAGCCCAATGTGGGACTCCATCCCAAGGCCCTGGGATCATGACCTGGGCCGAAGGCATACACTTAACCGACTGAGCCACCCAGGCACCTCTACAGGTTTAAAAATAATATGTGACTACCAGTTACTACAGGGGATCTTATATTTAGCAAATATAGGTATCTACTTAATTAAAATTTATTGACCCCCCTACTGTATCAGAATGTTTCTAGTAATAGAAAACCACTGGCCTAAATCATAGGGAAATACTAAATATTATTTATTTATTTAGTTTCACATTTTTATTTAAATTCTAATTAGTTAACATATAGGGCAATATTGATTTCAGGAATAGAATTCAGTGATTCGGGGTGCCTGGGTGGCTCAGTGGGTTAAGCCGCTGCCTTCGGCTCAGGTCATGATCTCGGGGTCCTGGGATCGAGCCCCGCATTGGGCTCTCTGCTCAGCAGGGAGCCTGCTTCCTCCTCTCTCTCTACCTGCCTCTCTGCCTGCTTGTGATCTCTCTCTGTCAAATAAATAAATAAAATCTTAAAAAAAAAAAAAAGAATTCAGTGATTCATCACTTACAACACCGGGTGCTCATCATAACAAGTGGTCTCCTTAACGCCCATCCCCCACCTAGCCCATCCCCCACCCACCTCCCTCCATCAACCCTCAGTTTGTTCCCGTTGTTAAGAGTCTCTTGTGGTTTGCCTCCCTCTCTCCCTCTCTTTGTTTCCTTCCCATACGTTCATCTGTTTTGTTTCTTTTTTTTAATTTTTATTTTTTTAAAGATTTTATTTATTTATTTGAGAGAGAGTGAGAGAGAGCATGAGAGGGGAGAAGGTCAAAGGGAGAAGCAGACTCCCTGTGGAGCAGATGCAGGTCTCCAAGATCATGACCTGAGCTGAAGGCAGTCTCTCAACCAACTGAGCCACCCAGCCGCCCCATCTGTTTTGTTTCTTAAATTCCACCCATGAGTCAGATCATATGATATTGTCTTTCTCTGACTGACTTATTTCACTTAACATAATACACTCTAGTTCCATCCATGCTGTTGCAAACGGCAAGATTTCATTCTTTGATGGCTGAGTCATATTCCATTGTACATACATATCACATCTTTTTGTAAAAGATTTTATTTGAGAGAGAGTGTGTGAGTGAGGGGAGGAGCAGAGGGAGAGGGACAAGCAAATTCTGTTGCTGAGCACAGAGCTCAACCCAGGGCTCCATCTCATGCCCCTGAGTCCATACCTGAGCTGAAACCAAGAGCTGGATGCCTCACTGACTGAGCCACCCAGGTGGCCCAATACCACGTCTTTATCCATTCATCAGTCAATGGACATTTGGGCTCTTTTCATAGTTTGAATATACGTTTTCTTTATAACAAGATACTCAGAGCTAGGGCTCTGGCCTCTTCCATGTGGTCTTTTTTGGGGGCGTCATCAGCAAGATGGCTGAGCAGTTCCACACATCACATACAGATCTGACAATGTCCAGAGGAAGAAAGAGTGGCATCTCATTCCTGTGACTCTTGTTAGGAGCAAAGAAAAACACACACACACACACACACACATCTTTCCTGGAAGTCTCCACAGCCGACTTGCCTTCATTGTCCAGAACAGGGCTACATGCTCATTTATTTTATTATTGTTGAAACTGCTGAATCTATTTTTAAATTTTTTGGTTGTTCTTACTGCTTTTCTTCCTCTTACCCTTAGAATATAGGTGTTTTTTTTTTTTAAGATTTGATTTATTTATTTATTTATTTATTTATTTATTTACTTTAGATTTTTATTTATTTATTTGACAGAC